TCAAAAAGTTTGTGAATAAAAGAAGAAACACTGCATTCATAAAACCTCTAGAGGCTACAACAAATATAGAACTTTGGATGTGGTGAAACTTACAAAGACTAATAAATATGGAGGCTGTTAGATTGGCCTGTGTATACAAAATATGTCACTAAAATCCAGTGTAATCGCAATAACTTTTGATGTCACTTTGTTTTAATTCTCATTTGATAGCAGCGACTCAAAATAAACTGAATCACATATTCTAAGTGGAAATAAGATGATCAATTTAAGTGGTAGGACTGGGGTTTTGTACCGTCTGGGCAGAGAAAGCACTTGTACGAAATGATGGACACAGCTCTCTCTGTGGAGCAGTCCTGCAAAATCACTCACCTTGGGTTCTTGCACTCTAAGCTTCACTGTCCCTCCACCCCAGCACCCCAATTTCTTTTATCTCATCCTGTTTCCTCTTGTAAAAAGAAGTAAGAACACGGTTTGACCTGTTCCCAAAAGAACCAGCAGGAATCAGGTTTTGATTACAAAATCCTTCCCACTCTTGTGCCTACTATGGTGGTTCTCCCGGGTGGTTTCTTCAGGGCTGTGTCAATTTCATCTCACAGTAGATACAGGAGCAGGCTCATGGAGAATAGCACCTGGGCGAGGTGACTGGAAAGCTGACTTGTCAGAATCTCTAAAGAACATATCAAGTCCTAGGCTTGGGGTCATGGGTTGTTTTCAAAGAGCAGAATCTTCCATAACTTTACATAGCATCTTCATAGTCCACATCTGTAACGTTTGCCTTCCTCAGCCTAGAGTAGATGTCTAAGGGGTCCTAGAAGCAAAAGGCACATGGATAGGATCAGAGCAGTGAAGACAAGTAGAACATGCCTTCTGTTGGTCCTCTTCCCCAGTTAGCCTGGATGCATCCTGTCATGGCACACCACGCTGCATGTGAATTACAGCCTCTGGCAAGACTGTGGCCCAGCACTTCCAGGGGGCCTGCAGCTCGCTGGTGGGCTAGAAAGCTGCCCCTGGTGAGCTGCAAATTGATCTAAATATACAAGGCCTTCTCCTATTCTTACAGGCCATTCTTAGGCAGTTCCATGAGCTGTCATTTTTTTTCAAGGTTGTCAGAATTTTGTATTCATAAACTAAATCTAGACTGTCACTGGGGTTTACCAAGGACTTGAATTCTGTCCTGAAACATCTGGCTGCCACACTACACTAGACAAAACTGCAAAGCACCTACTGTCCTTGTACACATGCACAGAGTTGGAATTCCTGCAATTTTCAGAAAGTATGTTTGTAACATCAATTTGAGTATCTTGAAATATTCGAATTTTAAAGATCGATGATTTTTAATGACACAAGTCACTATTAGCTTAGCTTCCTTCATTCAGTACTAATTTAGTTTTCTAGTGTGCTTTATAGCACAAAGTGATGGATGTTCGGTTCAATAGCATTTTAGGATAGAGATTTTTAAATGAGTAGAATTTTTAGACTAAGCATGCACTGCAGTTTGACTACAAATCATCCATATGCCCATTGCTAAAGTGAATATGCATGTAAGCCTCCAAAGTTTCCTTGTACAATGACATCTTATTGTTATAACCAAACATTTTTAATACCTCCATTGTTTTGGGCAATAGGGAGGAGGAGGCAGGCAGACCACAGAATTTCTGCTCTCCCTACATGGCTATATTTTAAAAAATTTGAGAACCAGTCACCAGAGAAAAGAGAGAAAGAACGTGGAGGAAAGAATATGAGGAATCTTACCTTATTCTCTACATGTGTCCCCGGGGGTTCTACTGTGGAGAAAATGTAAGCGCTGTGAGATTCCACTTTTATTTAAAGTGCTTCACTGAACTTGTGTTAGTAAAGGCTTCTTCCTCTCCCATCTGTTTCCTATGGATTGATTTCCATTAATATTTCTGTCTCACTTTTCTGTTTATAGCAAGGATGATTCCTTTAGTATCCAGAGGAAAACTGGCAGCCTGGGGGTAGAAGGGTAATAATGCCAGGAGGGTCCTATGCTAGAACGGGCCTTTCTACCTCTCAGCTTTTCTGGCCCACCATGTGTAGGATGAGACGACAGCACCAACGAGGCAGCTGTGATGGGGTGCCGCAAGGAGTGTGCGCGGCTGCTCAAAGAGGGCAGGCGGAAGCCACATCTCTGATGCTGCCGTGTGACTGGGGAGTGAGGCACAAAGTAGGCCAAGTCGGCATCAGCACTGGGCTCTACTCGAGGCAGCTTCCAGATCAAAGATCAGGCTCCAAATAGGCACAAATGATGCTCACAGCCAGCTCCAAGGGCAGAAGCAGCTGCCATCTGCCATGCACAGCCACCGAGTGTCCTCAGGGCTCCGGGAGAGACAAAATCAGAGACAAATTTACTCCCTCATGTCTCACCTGCTGCTGGTGCCTGTTCCTGCTGGATACTGTACACCAACGAATAAATCTCATCCCCACTTACAACATTCACTGAAAGAAAAGAAAGGAGATATCATGGCACAGTCCCTCATTCCTGCCTTTCAGCTTGCTCCATGCCTACCACGTATCACAGCCATGAAAACAGCTGAGTCATTCATTTGCAGAGGAGGCTGTGGCCCAGCAGGGTCAGGCTTGGCTAGCAGGTGTCACCCCCTTGCCCCTTCCCTGGGGTGCTCTACCCACTCTGGCCCAGGTCTTTGGGAAGCCTCACCATTTTCATATGTAGGCGGTAGCTGCACGGGGGCAGGTGAGTTGAGGTAGGTGAATTCTCGGGGTACAGGGCTGGGAGGGGTCCTGCAAACACAGAAACACATGCTATCTATCTGGGACCACAGCCCAGACATCCCAGACATCACTATTTGAGATTGTGAATAAGACGCTGAAGGAGAGACGCCTGTTAGAAGAAAGGGGCCTGAGCAGGATGCAAATTTATGGGGCAATTAGCAACCGGAAGGCACAACAGTGTGGTACGAGCCACAGCCCTGTCCATGGGCTGAATAGGGCATTGTTGAGTGTGCACTAGAGTGTCCTCCACGAGGGTAAGTTCCTTGTCTGACTGGCTCACTGTAGTACAGCACACACCCAGAACGGTGCCATTCCCATCATAGGTGCTCCGTAAATATTAAATGAAGAAATATTAATTCACCCCAGGTGGAAAACAGGTGTCTGGGCAGAACAAGCAACTTGAGCAAGGGGCAGAAGAAAAATGGTCATGCATATGTACATGTAGCACTGAAACAGTGCTACTCTGATTTGGAAAAAAAATCTCTGCTTATTGTTGGTATAAATAATAATACACTATAAAATAGATCAACTAAACATTGATATTTCTAGATGGAAATATTCTTTAAATCTTTCCCTTCTCCCCTCTAAACTTCTAAAGAATTTCATCAACAATCTGTTCAGTATGTTTATTACTGTCCGTCTTGCATTCCAGAAATGTGTATACATCTTATTTACCCTAAAATTTTTTAAGACTCTCAAGATCTTTCCATATTTTCGCAACTCCCAGCACTCAACAGAAAGACTTACAGACTCTCAGATACTGGTTGATTGAATGAATGAATGCATGGTTTTGGTCAAATCAATGCAACATTCTTATTCTGCAGATAAATATTTAAGAAGATCAGTAGGAAAAATTACGACAGGATTTAAAGTAATTGGTTAATATCTTAAAGACGGGAAATGTCAATGAATGTTCAACGCTGCAGTGGGAGAATGTGGGAGCAAGTTTTGGGTGTGATAAGACAGGAGAAAAAGCTCATGAGAGAACAATTTTAATTTTTAAAAATGGATTTTCTGCATTATCGGTATATATGAAGAAAGCGGAGGCCTCACCTGAGTGGATCACTGGCTGAACGTCTTCCTGCAAGCCAAACAAATGAATACATGTCAGTGGAGCAACCCCCTCAGTGCTTTCATACAGCCCTGTGCAGGGATGTGTCTCATGCCTGGAAGCCTGTTGCAGATGCCACTGTGCGCCCTGCAGACATCCTGGCAATCGTGTATAGAGTGTTCACTTCAGAGATGAGGAGACTTAGGGCCAGAAGAATGAAGTGAACTTCCCACAGCCAATTAGTACCAGATATAGGACTTGAACTTAAGTCTTTGAGCCCTCACATATATTAAATGTTTTGGTTTTGGTTTTGCAACCACAACACCCAATCTTATCGTGACAAAAATCCTCGAAGGCAGGTGCTGATACAACCATGTTACAGGTGGAGTAAGATGTCCAAAGATGCCAGAAACACTCAGAGTTTAAATGAGAATCTCACATTGTCCTCTTTTGCCTTGTCTCCAACTTGCCGAATGAAGAATAGGAGACCAAGCTTAAACATACAAATAAATATGTAATTACCAATTGTGGTAAAATGTGAAGCTAAATAACTTGCATCTCAGAAGAGAATCTTTGCAGGGTGGGTGGCCAGGTGAAGTATCTTGGAGAAAATGACACTTCAGCAGAAAAGTGAGAAAGATCCAACAGTGAGTAGAGTGTGTGGATGTGTGAATGAGCATTTCAGAGAAAAGGAAAAGCATGTGACAATAGTCTAAGGTGGATAAGAATTGACACTCTGAATTCAGAACTGGGAGATTGTTAGGATGGTCAGAGCTGCTACTATATTCCTCTTCTAGTGACTAATTAATTATTTTAAATAGAATTACATATTCATATAAAAATTAAATTAAAAAAGTACAAAATGTCGGCTGAGCCTCAACTAATAACACATGGAGGGTGGAGAACTTTACCAAAATTTTGCACAACTTTAATAGGCCCTGTTCCCATGTGCTGGGGGTGTGAGCAGCTTCCTAGGTAAGGTGGTTAACAACACAAATGCATCTTTTGCAGTATACATGTCACAAATTCAGCCCATTTCAGTAAAAACAAGGTCACAGTAACAAAATATGAGTCTCTATAAATACTAACCTATTTTTCTCTTGAGCCAGCAGCAAAATAAGAGGGCCATTGTGGAGGGACCCAGGGTGCCAAGCAGCCCCTCGATGACTCCTGATGTAAGACGATCCCTTCTTTTCTCGACAGGCGCTGGGGGGAAAGACCTGTGCGTGAGCTGCTCAGAGGAAGGGCTGGGGGTTCGGAGAGCAGACATCTTGGATGTGGGTTGTGCCCAAGCTCTGCTTTTCCAAGAGGGGACTTACTTATTTGTCTAGGGACATGCAACTTATCACATTGACGAAAAGAGAAGAGAGGCCCCCAACCTTCTCGTCCTCCAAGCCATTACAATACATGACCCATGACAGCACCACCCCTAGAAGCCCGATTTTGGGTAGCACATCACCAGACACACGTGGCGTCAGTGAAACTTTCTCAGGATGCTGGGAAAGAGACGTTGATCAAGACAATTCCATAGCCTGAGTTATACCTGTGAAGTTGAGCGTCACCACCTCACTGCGCTGGGCCCCCAGGCCATTGTCGGCCTCACAGGAGTAACTTCCAGAATGTTCCACAGTCAGGGAGAAGTTGAAGGACACTCCTCCTCCAGAGGGGACCGAGCTGCTCCCCAGGGTGACATCCTCATGATAAAACCAGTACAGGATCGGGGGAGAGCCTCCAGGGGCCTCACAGTGAAGCTCCACCACGTCTCCCACCACAGCCTGGGCCCTGGGTGCCGTGATGGTGAGGACGGGGCGAGACACTGGACCTGACAGAGAGAGTGGACTATCAGAGAGGGTCTCTGACCATGTGACACACTCATAATCTCTGCCCACCGAGGCTTGGCCCCCGTGAGCTTCCCAGCATTCCCCAGGGAAATGCAGAGCCCACTTTGAGATGTGCCGGCTGAGCCGGGGGCAGTGGCACTTACTTCTGATGGTGATGCTCACCAGTCCGCTGGGCCTGGGACCGTCGCCATTGTCAGCCGCACAGTAATACTGCTCAGCGTCACTCTTCCTCACCGTTGGGAGCTCAAACTCCGCTGTCAGTGAGTGCTGGGTCTTTGTTCCCAGGTTTAAACCCAGGGCCCCTTTGTACCAGAGGAAGGTGATGTTTCCTGTGCCCTTAGCAACCGAGCAGATGAAGACCAGCTTGTCTCCCTCTGTCACCTGTCCCCCTGGGGGCTGGGTCTCCAAGCTCACATCAGAGATGGGGACTCCTGTGTGAACACAAGATGACATGGGGAGCCCTGAGTAGGGAGAGTTTCAGGGACATGGAGTAGGTGTGACAGTCCTGGAAGCAAAGCCTGCGAGTAAAGTCCATGATCACATAGTTTAATTGGGGGGTGCGGTTCTGCTGATTTAAAATCAGCATTGGTTGGGTTGATGCAACGCCCTGCTTGCCCAGAGTGCTGGTTGGGCACCGACTTCTTGTAGTCAGGGACCAGGTGTTGTGCAGCTATTTCCCCTTCACCCTCCAGCACAGTGAAGACATACAGTAAGGGTTTCCTAATATTCTGTTTGCCCAAAATGGAAACAGCAAGTATAAGAGAAGGTCCCTTAAGGACCCTAACAAAGAGAAACTCAGGTGTATCTCTCAAACGGCTCCTACTCTCAGATGCAGAACCCGGCAGTCAGGGAGGACTGGCCTCTTGCCGCTGCCCTTCCTCGGCCCACCCTGGGAGGCTGGCCCCACTGGCACTCACTCCGCACGTTCATCTGGAATATCCGGCTTCTTAAGACTTTGGGTGCCATTGTCTTTGCCTCACACCGGTAGGACCCTGAGTCTTCCCTCCACACCGCGGCGATTTGGAGCTCCCGGGAGCTGCTCCAGCCCAGCCCCAGGACCCGTTCATCTCTGAAGAAGCGGAACTGGGGCTGATCAACTGACCACTGTGGAAGGGACTGAGTCGTCATACAGGTCAGGGTCACTGGGCTCCCCTCTGTGGGCTGGGAGGGGCTGGCTATCAGAAACAGCTCTAGAGGGAGAAATCGAACACAGTTGCAGGGCAATGGGGTTCAGAGCTCCTGGTGAGAGGCACTTGGTGTCTCAGCACTTGCAAACAAGACTCAAAGAAACAGCCAGTTGGGCACACATGCCCCCCCTCATGTCACGACCACCCCTCACCCCCAGTGGTCCAGGGCCTTTCCTTTGCCATGAACTCACCCTGCTCACCCTGGCACATCCCGCCCCTGTGCAGCAGCGTCTCCAACCAGAGGGCGACGCTTACCTTTGACTTGGATCTTATTCTCTTTTGAAGTTTCTAGCCATGAGCTAAAAACACCTTTCTCAGTGCCAGTATGGGAACACTGAAGACTGTCCCTGGAGCTGGCATTGGAGATGCTGAAGCTTGAAGTTTTAGTAAAAGTGAACACATTTCTTTCATCCTTGTCCTAAGCCATATTGGTAATTTTCTTCTGTTTCCTTTCCTCTGACATCTCAGAATCACATTACCTCTTTCAAAGACAGAATATGGGACCTGGAGGATCAGTCAGTCAGGGGGAGACATGGAGCCACTCGATCCTCTCTTCACTGACTCTGTCCTGCCCCTATTATTGCTATTTTCATTGGAAGAAAAGGGGTGCACTTGCCTGGGAATACCCTGTCCCCACCATCCATACAGCCCAGCTCCCTCGATCTGGGATTCTAGACAAACCTCTGTAGAAACCGTGATATGAGGAGCACATTTAATCCATATCTGAAGCCTCAGGGATGTAACCCTTTGGGGTCTTAGGGGCTTTTTTCTGGATGAATAAAGATAGCTAAAGTTGTGCTCTGCTCTCACCCCTCTTCTTATCTCCTCCACTTGCAGCAGCCCATGAAAAATGTCACAATCCCTGATAGGATTGACTTTTGAGACATTTGTTTATCCAATCCTCAGAGCCTTTGCCCTGTGGGAATTTTTTTTTTTTTTTTTTGAGACAGAGTCTCATTCTGTTGCCCAGGCTAGAGTGCTGTGGCATCAGCCTAGCTCATCACTGCAACCTCAAACTCCTGGGCTTAATCAATCCTCTTGTCTCAGCCTCCCAAGTAGCTGGGACTACAGGCATGTGCCACCATGCCAGGCTAATTTTTTCTATATATATTTTTTGAGTTGTCTGGCTAATTTCCTTCTATTGTAGTAGAGACAGGGTCTCCCTCTTGCTCAGGCTGGTCTCGAACTCCTGAGCTCAAGCGGTCCTCCCACCTTGGCCTCCCAGAGTGCTAGGATTACAGGAGTGAGCCACCATGCCCGGCCAGGAATTTTTAATAATTTCCCTAAAAGAAGCCTCTTTCTCTCCTTTCCAGATGAAAATAACAAGTGCTCCGGATCACAGGGGGGTGATTCCTAGCCCTGATATCTCTAATCACGAAGTCTTTCCACTGGAATACTTTTCCCTGGGAACTTTTAAACATCAGTTCCAGCCATGGTACCAGAATGTTTGCTTTGTCCTGGGACATGGAATATCCCGCATGTTAGAGTCACTTTCTTTCCTTGGAAAACTGTGGTCCCCAGAAGACTGACCAATAGCACAGCTTTTGGAGCTGAGCAGAGAAAGAAATTTTAAGAAAGGCATTTGGGCACCTGTAACCCACTCCTCTCAGTGGTGCTGGGGTAGGGAGGGAGTAGAAAACTGGACAGGGCCCATCTTAAGGTTCTGGGGCTCAGTCTCCCACCTCAGAGTTTGTTTCAGTTAATTCTCAAATAGCAAAGACTACCTGGAAAATATCTGGTGGTAGAAACTTTGTTTCCTCATCCTTGCTGTGACTTTGGATTTCTGCTTAGGCTGGGATTGCGCACCTGGGTTTAGGGGTAAAGGTGAGACCAGACACAAGGCATGCATGGCATCAACACAAGGCATGAGCTAGACTTGGCCAAACGTCAGGTGAAGAGTCCAGGTTAGGTTGAATCTCTCTGGTCACAGCATCCAGAGATCCTGTGTTTCCTAGTTGCACTTGTAGTCTGTGTTCGTGAGGTAGCAGGACAATCTCTTTTAACCCCACGATTAGTATTTTATGCACAGGAGGGCAGTTCTCTCATGTATTAGATTTGAATATGCTTTAGTGAAAGATTTCTTCTGAGGGGAGGGAATATTTCCACCTTTCCTCCTCTGGTAAAGGTAAGACTTTGAGTCAGGATCAGAGCAATGAAGTAATTTGCATAAACTGGGGTCTGAGAGAGAAAACAAGCTGGGGTAATCGTGTGGCTGCAGAGTGGAGCTAAAAATAGGAAGGAGGTAGCAGTACTACTTCATTCTGCACGTGGCCCGAGGGTTGACTGTAATGTTGTTCTCCACGGATGTGTGGTTTTCACATTTCCTCCATCACCCTTGGTGGAGCACCCAGCTGAGGAGCACAGGGGACTTGGAGCCCCTGAGTCTGGAAGGACAGAGATTCTTCTAACATGTGTCTTCAGTATTCTCTGCCTTCCTTTTGCAAATGGTGTCTCTCTATGCTGGAACTTCTCATAGAGAAGACTGTGTTCTTGAGAAGATCAGAGCAAGACCTGCTCATTTCACTGAAGAGGCACATGTCAGATGCACAACTGGTGTGAACCCAGAGCAGCTTGGGCGAAGGGAGCTGCCACCTAATGTGTCTTGGACAGGCAGGGGCTGCTCAGACTGGCTGCTCAGACAGCCATCCACAGGCCTCCTGTGCTGCCCTGAGTGACAAGGTACCCACAGACCATGAAGAAGAAAGGGAAGTGCAACTCACCGGTGGGTTCACAGAGTGGAGCTGGGAGAGAATTCAGCAGAGATCAGTACTGAGCAGCAAATCCACACATCCACAAAGTTTAACTCCTCCAAGAGCTTTCCCAGCAATACACCCTCCTTCCCTCGTGACCTCCCTGCTTCTCCACCTTCCACCGGCCTTTCCTCTTTTTCTCCTCATCCCTCCCTTCTTTCGTCTTTCCTCCCTCCCTGCTTATCTTCCTCCCCTTCCTTCCTGCCTGCCTTCCTTCTTTCTCTCTGTTCCTTTTCCTGTATTCCATATCACTCACAGGACACCTGCTCACAAAACAACATATTATTTTTTTAATGATCATAAAATAACTTCCAGTAACTTTGTCATCTGTGATTAGGAGATGTAGTCTTTGTTCTTAACCACTCAGCAGCTCCCTCTTCAACCCCCTCATTCCCACTCCCTCCTCCTCCTCTCAAAATTCTTGACAATCCAGCTCCAGACTCACTGCCTCATGGTAACAGCAGAGTCAGGCAAGGGGAGTACGAGGTCTCATGCTCAAGTCATGGGGCCCCTTTGTTTACTAAGGTAAGATCAGAGGAGGCTTAGGTCCAGAGAAGAAATTTAGATTTCTGCAAAGATTCTCTTCTATCCCAAGGATTTGACCATAATATTATGGCAGAATGATCAAGAAAGAAAAATTCTGGGGAGAATGCAGGCTCTGTAGCTAGAACATGAATTTGAGTCCTGGCTTTTCCTTTTACGAGTTGTGTGACCCAGGGAAGCATGTTTCAGATGCCTGTGCTTTAGTTTGCTTTTTTGTAAAATGTAAATAATAATAGTACCCACCTCACAGAATTTTTGTGAGGATTAAATAAGTAGATATCCATAAAGAGCTTAGAATAGTGCCTGGAATTTACTTAGCAGTCAGTAAATATTGTCTCATTATTATCTATTTTAGGCCATGTTTAGTTTGAGACACCTACTTTTTTAGGTTAAATGATTACTTGAATAATTAGCTCCCCAGGTAGGAGGAGGGTACCAACAGGAGCCAGCATAAAAATTGTATTTTATATATTCATCCGTACAACAAATAATTGTGAGTGCTTACTATATGCCAGGCATTGTGCATGGTGCTTGGGTTATAGGAGTGAACATGAATGAGAGTCCTTAATGTCAAGGAATTTGCATGATAGTGGAATAGGGCCAATTTAAAAAGAAATATGCAATATTATTTCAGAGGAGGATTGGTGCTATATGAAAAATAAAGCAGAGAAATAAGTTACAGACTCTCTTAGGATGGTCTTGACTAGATAGATTCTAACTCAGTAAAAACTTAAATGTAATCAGGTAGCAAGTCTTCTGACTATTTAGGAAAGAGCATCCCTGGCAGAGAAGACAGCAAATGCAAATGCCTTGAGAAGGGAATGAGCTTGTCCAAGGGGGAATGAGAAGGCACCTGGAGCTGACTGGGAGCGGGAACACTGGTGGTTATCGATGTGTAAGAAGTAGACAGGAGCCAGTCTTGGGGGGCTCTATGGATATGGCCAACAGTTTTGGATTTTATTCTAGATGTGATGGGCAGCTATGGGCAGTTCTGACTTAATTAACATCAGTAATGTCACTCTGATGGTGTGAGGAAAACAGATCATAGAAGTACTAAAGAAGCAAGGAGAACATTAGTGGGAATGCAGTCTAGGAGAGTAAGGATAATGACTCAGGTTAGACAGTACTGGTGCCATAAAGTGGTCGCATTTCGGTATAAATTTTGAAAGTAAAATCAATAGGAGCTGCTTATGGATTAAATAGAAAGCTCAAAGAAAGAGAGGAGTTAAGTATGACTCCTAGAGTTTTGGCCACAGTGAATGGTATAGACATTTAATGGCTTGGAGAAATTCTGGGGGGAAAGGGGTTAAATTTTGTTTTGTTGGTGGTACAGGTGGAAATTTGAGTTTAAGGTGCCTGTTAGACAACTGAGTGGCAGTTGAATATGTGAGAGGCATTCAAAAGAGAGGTCAAAGCTGGAGAAATAAGCTTGAGTTTAAGCTTAAAGCAACACATAAATTGACAAAATTATATAACTCAGTGAAATGAGTATGGATTTCAAAGAGAAGTCTGGGTATCAACATTGGAAAGTTTCAATATTTCGAGATCAGTAGAGAATCCAACAAAGAGGCTGAGAAGCAGCAAGCACTGAATTAGAATGAAAACTAGCAGAATATGATATTCCAGAAATCAAGTGAAAATGCGTTTCCAGAAGATGGAGTGATCAAATACCCCTGAGAGGTTGAGTAAAGTAAGAAATTAAAATTACTCCTGGATGAAGGTCGTTGATGATGTTAGCAAGAGCAATTTTAGTGGAATGGTAGGGATAAATGATTTATTATAGCGGGCTCAAGAGAGGAAGAGGAAGAACTACAGGGACCTAGAGCAGTTTCATAGTCACCGGGGGTTAGGGATGGGGGAATATTTGACAATAAACGGATTGATGGGATAAGGGAATTTTTGAAGTAATGGAAATGT